GCTTTTTGAATTTCACAAACCAAGTATGATTGAGGCTTTTTTCAAAAAACTAAACCAAATTAAGAAAACTGGATCGACAGGGAAAACCTCTACTTTGTTGAGAAATCTGGAACTTAGCTCAGCAAGCGCAGCAAATTCTAATGAGACGGAAAAAAATAGGGAAAAAGGAAAAATAGTTTAAGAAAAACAGTCGAAAAACAAAACCGAAATTCTTAAATAAGCTTTTAGCATTTACCGAGCCGCAACAAAGCCGAGATCAAGTGGTGGACGATCATTCAGCCGAAAACAAAAAATGTCATAAGAAAATGCTGCCACCAAAAATTTAGAACATTTAAATTAAAACATTTAAACCTGGAAACACAAACTACCTTTATTGATCAAAAGACAAATCAATCATTTTTTGCTCTTGAAGTGACAAAAAAGAAAAAAAAACTAAGCCGACAAAACATCAGTCCAGACAATTTAGGCCGAATAAAGCTTTTAAGCAAAAAAGAAACAAAAAAGAAAACGAAGGAAACATACCATGTTAGGGCTTTTAATTATAAAATATACAGCAGTCGAGAACAATTGCATTTACAATGCAAAGTGCTAAAAATACAAAAAGCTTTCCCTATTTAGCAAAAAGCCATCAAAACATAAGCAGACAAACGACAACTTACATTTCTTACAAAAAAAGCAATTCCATAAACACTGAAAAACTAAGATACGGGCGTGCTTGGTCCCCATACCTTTGAGTACAAGGGTAGCCGCGTTACCTCTAGGCCAAGTGGAAAGAAATTTCGAAGCTAAGGTTCACTCATTTAACCAACTTCATAATTTCGTAAAAATGTGAAAAAGAGTGTTAACGAAAAAATTATGTAACACAGAGGCAAAGCGGAGCTTTACAACACTTGCAATAAAACAAAAAATCGCAATACAAGTTAGCGAAGAAAAAAATAAGTATTAATTTTTAAAAAAACAAGTTGAAAAATTACTCTAAAAATATCAAACTCAAATCTTTGTCTCAGAAAAACTTTTTAAAGCCTTTTAGAATGTTTCAGTGGAAATTGCCATCAATTTTAAAAACAAAACCAAGTGAACTTAAAAAGTAAGCAGGTCAAACTGTGAAAAAAATCAGAACGTGAACAACTTTTACTGAGAGTCGAAGCCTATTTTGGCGCAATTTGCAATACCACATAAACACAGCATTGCTAACTCACATCAAGAAATTGGGAGGAAAAACGATAACTTGAAAAAAAATATAGCAAACAGAATACTAGAAAAGTCAAAAAAGAACAAGAAAATTGAAAAACCAATGATTGAAAGCGTTGGAACATTTGTTAACTTTCGAAGAAACAAAAAACCAGGTTTAAGCGCTTAGAATGTCAAGAACTGATCTTGATTGACGCTCTTTTTAAAATTTTTACGACTCATCTCCCCCTAATCGCAAACAGCATTAACAAAAAAAATGCTTGCCTTCGAAAAAATGCAAAAATAGATGACTATTGCAATATCACAAAAGCCCAAAACATTTAAAGAAAAAATGGAAAAGAAAAACTAATCAAAAACAGACTTTGACAAATTTAAAAAACTTTCAATTACCTTAAAACCACAAAAGGACGTAAACTTTTACGATAGTAACTAAAATTCCTCTGATTAATTAGTACGAAGTCAGCGCAGCCAGCAATTGAACGCTAATGCAGCAGTTATTTGTAAGAAAAGTTACTAACTGAATAAAAACGTAGTTTCCGATTACAAGTACACTTGCTCTCGCGAGTTAAATATTCAAACTCGAAATTAGATGTAAATCACGTTTTTCATGACTTTTTTTACATTTTCTGTTCGATAGTGGCGTTTGTCTTCCTTTTTACGATTTTTTTTCCAGTTATTAAGTTTCGCGTTCCTAGCAATATATTAATATGACACATCAACTCAATTGCCTCAACTCAATTGACAAATTACGTCTGAGCCAAATTTATTGGCCGCTTGCGCGTTGTAAAAAGCCAAAATTCACATATTAAATAATCCAAAAATTGAAGTTCTCAAACCCCATTATTTAACAAAAAAAATCACAGACCAAATTTTTTCAATATTTTCATAAATTTGAGCTAGAAACTTGCCTTTTGAAAGCCAAAAACATTTCCTAGAGAAAGTTGCCTTTTGGAAGCCTTTCATTTTTGAAAACATCTGAGAAAAGAACTACTGACCAATTACTCCAGCACACTGCTCTGAATTTGAAACAAAAGCATTGAAAAAAAATAATTTGAGTCAAGTGGAAAAATAGGCAAAACTTCCCAAAACAGAAGTACCAAATGCCACAAAAAGACTAATCAGAATTGACTAATCAACACAGAGACGAAACTGAGCTTCGCACCACATGCAATACAAACACAGATTTAAAAAATCAAAAAATCTGCAAGAAAAGCCCAGTGACTTCATAAGTAGAAAATTGTTCGAACAAGTTTGAAAACATTGAAATCTTGCAACCTTCACTTCCCTAATTTTTCAACAACCAAATCAATCAATTTTTGCACTTGACATGAAACAAATAAACTAAATTCGCTGACAAAATAGGCCAAGACAATTAAGGCCGAATAAACCTTTTAGGTGAAGCAAAACAAAAAGGAAAACTAAGGAAACATACCACGCCAGAGTTATTCATTTTATAGATTTTTTTCTACTTAAATCATCTAAAATTTTTTTCTACATAAATAAAGGCGTACGAGCTTATTCAGCAAGGAATTCCGAAATCTTATTTTCCTATTGAATGAATCATTAATATTGAACTGGGAAGAGTAATTATTTGAGAACGCTCAAAAATTCTTAAATTTGACTCTCAAAATTCACCATTCCTACAAAATAAACCATTCTGTGAACAGAATTATTTACAAGAAAAAAGTCTAGTACACGATTGCAATACACTTCGTGATCGCAAGAATAAATATTCAAATTTAATAAGCAAAAAATCAGTCAGTTTTGGACAGTTTGAAGTCCGTTTATTGGTTGAGAATTTTCCAATATTCGGTGTCTCTGTTATGAGAATAGCCCCCGTGAAACGTGAAATTATTCGGACTAATTACCTCGCCTTAATTCAATTTGCAAAAGCTAATTGAGCGCTTTGAAAATCGGAATAACTACCAAGCTCAAATTGTGGTGCTTAAGCATTGAGCACCATAGAACAAAGCCATCAGTGTCAAAGAACACAAGGAAACCGAAAATTTTTTTGAAAAAATCAACTTTTAAATTGCCAGCCACAAAAAAAATCAACTCTTTTGAAAAATCATCTTTTGATTTTCGAAAAAAAAGCTTAAAGATCATTGAATTTCTAGGAAAGCTCTTCGATTGAATCTTTCTTGATAGAAATTGACACAAATTGAGAAAACAGGACAATAGATAGAAATTCTATACCGCTGGGAAATCCAATATGTAAAAATTACATTCGAAACTAATAGCTGTTCGCGTTTTTTCGCCATATTGGCTTTTGCAATTGGAGAGCGAAACAACAAAAGTCTTTTGTAACAGCTAGCTTACCAAAAAAAGAATAACTTCAAGAATTAACCAAGTAAATCAAAAAATTATGTCCGCTGGACAATAAAGATCTCAACATTGGACACTGCCCAGCTTTTGTACAACTAACTACGCAACAAAAAGCTCAAATAGTGAAGGATAAGCAGTTGTGATTCAACTGCCTGGATAACCATAGGTCAACTAGATAACTGAGTTGAAACACTAACTCTGTTTTATGCCAAATTGCACAATCCACGGATTTAGAGGACTTAAAACAACGGCTAACTAGCTTTTGAAAAGCCTGCAAGAATTGGAAAAATTGGCAGATGATATAGCATCGTGCCCTCTAGCAGACGTGTAAAGTCTTCTAAATGATACCTCCTCACTACCAAGTCGCAAACTTTTGCTAATGGAACATACGCAACAAAACGAAAATACACCGAGATACAGATAGATGACTCCTCCAGTCACACTACTGTGCAACTATCTTCACATACGCAGGAATCCAATAAAAGTAATTTGGAAAATCAAGTAATACAAAAGCTGGTTGGAAACACAAACTTTATTTTATGCCAATTTCTTTGTTCAACAACAAGAGGCAACAACAACAAGGGCGGTTCCTTGCTTTGCAATTTTGGACAATTGCAGCAGCCGTTATTATGTCCTGACATGAACAGCTGATACCATACAGTGTAAACCCAGTCGAGCAGTTGAATTGTTTCAAATGAATTTGAAGATCAAAATTGGTGTGAACTTCTACTCAAAGAAAGCGGGAAAAAAACTCGAATTTATAAGTGTCTTCATTACGCTCATTAACACTGAATTCGTTCAAAAACTATACTGATCAAATCAACAACTTATTAACATTCGAACTTTATTACTTTGAGCTCATGACGTAGATATCTTCAAACAGTACTGAATATCCTCAAAATTATTATTTCGATTAACTTCGCGCAAAAAAATTATATTTACCAGTGCAATTATATTTTAAAAAAATTGCAAGACTATTTGCACAGCCACCAGCAATTCTACTTTTCTTTTGAATCAAGTGAACTCAAATGATACAAATTAGCGAACATGTTTCTTAAGCTACCCTCTGTGCGTTAATAATTCTTTGAACACTCGGTGCATGAATTGAATTTTGTTTTAATCCAGTTTTTAAAAATGTGGTTTCCGCGATTCGCAGAGGATCTACCGAAGACTATCCAGCCTGACTACAGATAGTCCGTTTCTCTTATTTCCCACGTTCCAGACTAAGCTGTTTCGTTGATTAAAGCTTTCTCTCGAGGTCGTTTTTTAGCGTCAATAACTTTCAGGTGGTACAACAATTGCAGCCGAAATTGGTCAGATGTGAAACTAGAAGTGAAGTGAGAAATCGTCGTCCTCCTAACACACTATCATTGCCATGGCAGGGGGTCGAATACAAGGAAGAATCAGATTTTTAACTAATGATCAAAATTTAAAGCACGTTGGTTTTGGATTATATCAACTTCTGTTTTAATCTAGCTACTTGCCTAACAAAGCTGCAATGACGGGTAACCACTGCGGGTCATCCAAGTTGTTACAATTTACCAGCTCCTCGCTGCTATACACATTAGTGGTCATTTTATTCAGGTCTAAATGACTCGCCGAAAGATAATATTGTGCTGCGTTGTAAATGACGAAGTCACTATCTTGTGCAATAATGGCGACGACAACTCTGCTGTTTTGCTTCGCATACATAGCAATTTCCTCATCACACTCTTCTGACGTAATAATTACTTTGCAACAACATTCTTCGGCTAGCACGTATCGCTGGAACATGGTTATTCCTACAATTTGTAGAGACATTGGACATATATATTGACCAAATTTTAGGATCAAATTAACATCCCCCCCAAGAGACCAAGTTAAGATCCTACACCCCAGCACTTTATATAAATTATATTTATTAAGCGCTGCATGTAAAATGCTCGATTCTGATTGGCTGAAAAATCCCAACTTAGAACCAAGTTAACATCATCCCAAAAAAACGGCTTTGGGGAAGGATGTTAACTTGGTCCAAATTTTGAACTGATAGATGCTCAATATTGAAGGTTGATTCAGTAACAAAGAATTCTAAAATTGAAACCAATTTTTTCAATCTCAATTTAGAAATAGTTATCTAAATTTTGATTAAATTTTAAATCTCTGATGTTTTGATTAACTTCTATTGGAGATCCAACTTCGATTTTATTCCAATTCGGCGACAATTTGAAAACATTTATTTTCAACTTAGAGCATTTTTCAAAATATTTGCCCAATGACTGTACTGTCCTGTAGGTATCATAAAAGGCTCCTTCTCAGCTACACTATTCCTCGTTCTGATTTTATTCATCAACTTTTGAATTTCTGTATAATATCGAACTCGGCGTTTGATCCACTCATTCCGTTTCTGGTCCAGACAAGGCCCGTCATAAAAGAAAATGGGCTCGGCCCCAGCCTCACGAATAGCCTCGACAAAAGATTTGATTTTTTTACCGCAATCGATATACTAACCTCCACAAATCCAATCTAATCCCTTGTTTAGAAGACGTAGAGTGCACTGCGCATCGACTAAAACTTCTGGCTTGGAGGAGCCAGTCAAACCTTTTTTGAATTTTTCGATCTCTTCGTTTATATTCACTGGGTAGCAAAGTTTGCCCTTTCTTTCTTCCATATAGGATTCCAGCCCTTTAACGCCCATTTGATTACACTGAAAATCCTTTTGTATAAAAGGCCTGAGAACAGAAATGAAAACAGTGAACTCTTGTGACATTCGACCAGAATGGACGAAAAGGTAATTTCGGATTATTAGCAGCTAACCTTCCGAATTAGCAGTTTTAGAGGATTAACGGTGTTATTCAGACGATTGGACGAATCGTGAAGGCTACAATATTCTGGTATTTTAAATTTTAAATTTCGAATGATGACGTCATATTTCTGAGAAACGTCAAAAACGACCATTTTGGAAGAAATCTGGTATAAAAACAGAACAACAATAGTTGCGACGGCGACAACAACGATAATCGCGATAAAAAACAATAACGAGAATTGAACGAATAGCAGAGTTAGCAGTGACCGCTCCGAGTTGTGTAACATTCGCCCAAATACTACACAGCGACGGAGCGTAGAAAAAGTACCTATTTACGACTGGCAGGCGTCAGTTACCTTAATCCTACTCGTTTTTCAACGTCTCGACCTTGCCAGTTGATTTTCTGGTCTGTCTAGGGCAAAGTAAAAAGTTACCATTTTTAGGCCATCAGTCAAACGACTTTTGATCAGCTTTCGTTTACATGCGAACACAACCACATAGCTGAGTCTCGGATCCTCAGACTACGTGATTGCTATTAAAAACACTGCTCGAATAACCTATTTTAATATGTTTTTGTGTGACAGTTCTATATTAAATCCATTGGAGATGGATTGACCCGTTCCTCTTTCTAGCTACTCATATTCTGAAATATCAAATAATACCGGTGTTAATTAGGAGTTCTATGACATTCAAGTAGCTATAAAGTCAGTTTTATACAGTCCCTTCACATAAAACGGTCTCTGGGGGACCAAGCCTCCGCTCCCGTAATATTCCTGAGATAACGCTCTTATCTCTTCCAATTTGTGTCCCGGGAGGGTTCCGTGGAATATTCCTTCCCCACTGAAGCTTCCTTCTCCACTAATATCCACTGCTAAGGTTCTTATCGTGTGTTGTTGCCACGATACGAGGCTTCGTATTTTTCGTCTCTTGTGCGACCGTTTTTCACAATATCTGTCGTTGTTGTGTTTTTTCGTCCTTTTCAGTCAAAATGGCCGTTTTTTGTATTTCTGATAAATATTCCCCTTCTGATCGAAATTTTAAAAATAAAAATTCTAGAATATTCCTACCCTCCTTCGCAATACTTTTTCGTTAATAAGGCCTTTAATTGTTCTTTTTCACGTCGCCGGAAGGTTGCTCTGTGCCAATCTGGCAGAATGGCACATACTCCCCGGACAAGTCCCCACCAATGTCCCTATTGATCGCATAACAACGGGTTATCGTCAAGTAGTACTCCAGTTCTCTATAATCAATCTTACAAATCGCATAAGAAATTGAAATTTATCTACTCCACCTCAACTCACTACGTGTTCACAAATGGCATCGTACTACATCTCACTGCCTTTCAACATTTTCACAAAATTTGCACCATGAGGAGTGTCCTAGATAAAAATTTTTTTCTGACTACTTACGTCATCTCGCCATAAAACTTCTTTTCGCTCTTTGTGATTAAAAACTGGGATGTGGCACGGCCACGCACCCGTTAAAATTAACTTAACTTCACTCACCAAGTATAATCAGTCATTTATGCGGTCCTTTCAATATTAAAACTAAGAAACTCTGTGGCTACGAAAGTTATTGAGTTATTCACCCTCTCGAGCAAGTTTACTCAATCTTACCATGTCGCCACACAGTGAAATTGTGTCTTACACAGGTTAAAAACTTCAGTCGTGTTTAAATAGGTAAATATACTCACCTATAATCCTCATATACATACATAAATAGTCATAACTAAAATCAATAATTTCAGCAATTTTAGCAATTGCAACATTGTAGCTTGGTCTGACCAAACTAGATCAAAACAAAAAGTTTACCAAGTTCAATAATCAAAACTTGGTTGATTGGTTCAAGTTTTAACACACAAAGACAATCAAGTTTTTTCTCCTTCTCTTCTTTTCTTGCTCACGTCTTCACTTGTTCTCTTCGTTCATCATCTTCATTCCATCGCTTCTCCATCCTGATCTTCAGCGTCACTGTCTTCCAGAACTTTCTCTAACATGTCCATAGAGTTGCGGGCCGTGCCCCAACTCTCTTGCTCCAACAGCCTCGGTTTGCAACAAGGTAGCAAGTCCAAGTTCACCTTCTGCTCCCGGTTCCTGCAAAAGCTGTTGCGAAAACATAAGCTCACATTTCGTTCTAGGTCATTTCTTAAGACCTCTTTCTTTTCATCTTCAGTTGCACAAGGCGCTCCAGCCACTCGCTTCGCCGCCGTGGTGACCGCGTTTCTATGCGTCAGGAATGCTCTCTTATAGGCTCCCGGTCCTATATCTAGCTGGAGAGATTGATAGGCTTCCGTGTTCCTCGACATGTGACGCTTCGCGCGTTCATACATCCATGATGTCATCACTGCACGGAACCAAGTGTAACATTCGTCTACTGCAGTCACACATGAGGCTTAAGAAAAATAGGCCCTATAACCACTGGCTCAAGGGTCAGGGACACTATCTCTTGTGTTTTTCTACCTCAAGAACGGTCGGAGCCAGTTCGGTTCGCTTGTGACATGAGACTACGACCCGTTACAGCTTAAAGGCTACTACTAAAATATCCCCCCACTCTAGAATTAGAAACGTCCCCATACTTAGGTCTCTAGATACCCAAAATACATGAACGCCGTTAAAAACCGGGTTGGAACAATCCGTTAAGTTACTTTTTATTAGACAGTGGAACTTTGATCCATTTCAGATGGATCAACCTAAAACTCGCCTTACCTCAACATAACAATTATAAAACACACTCTAGGAATTTAAATTAAGTACTCACATTGTAGCACGCTCAAGAACCAGGAAGCAAATAAGTCGGTAAACAACTCAAGAATTAATAAAGTAACTAATATGAGTTTAATGTTAGTCAGTTTTAACAACAAGAACAAGTTTTTACTCTAGACTGCAAGTTCTCGTGAACCATTGGGACACTCAAGCTGTCCACCTTTCCACCGAAGGTTCACTCTAGTCCAGTCAATAATAGTATTCCAATCGTAACAATCCAATTCGTGGGAATGCTCTCGTCTCTGTTTCAGATGGGACAGCTCTACTCTAGGCTATTATTGCTATTGAAATTGCGAATAGCAATTTCCCACCGATTTTTCTAGCAACTTTCCCGCGATTGTTATTCAACTGTTCTGAAATTGTTCTCCTCTCTTTTTCTGATTTTCAGTTCTCGCGAGAAAATCGTGCATGACAGGTTCCATTCGAAATTTTGAAAAATTAAATTTCACTCCAAAATCAAGTGTTTTTTTCTTCTCTCAAGGTCAAACTTCCAAATATGACCGACTGGCACATACTCCCCGGACTCGAGATCGATGTCCTCATCGCGCGCTGTCTTCTGCCAGTGAGTCCCAGAAAAACCGAGTGTTGCTCAAGATACAGTGCCAGAGGTCATTTACAGAAGTTTGCAGCAGATTTAAGCTTATCTACACCCCAAAATTCACAGCCATTTAAAATTTTCACGCTATTGCTAAACAGCAACCAAAATCTGCATACACCTGCACCCTTGAATTTTCGCTTTTCAAGCCAATCATTTTAAAATCTCTTTTGTCCTATTCAATCAGGAAATTGTCATGCAGCATTTCGATTTATATAATAAATATAGTATATTAGTAACAATATTTGCTTTGTTAAAATTTCTTTTTCGTGAATCCAAGTTTCACTCGGATCCACGCTCAAGCCCCCCCTTCCCTCTCAAGACTCAAGATCCATCCGATTTGCCCATTCATCTCGTACTCTTCGCCTTGGAGGTACTGCATCCTGAAGTGCTAGATGCGGCAAACTGTCTCAACAGTTCCTCTTCATCATCGGGACTAATCACAATCTCCTCCCAAGCCTTCAGCTGTTCATAGGATCGCATCCATTCCCTCTGCTCCTGCAATCTCTTTGCTTGGTTGGGTAGTGCCTTCACCCTAGCTTCTCGGTTCAAGCAAAAGGAGTTGTGCAGGCTCAAGCTCACGTTCTTCGCCAGGTCTTCCTCTAGTATCGACTCCCTCGCTTTGGTATTGTCTCTAGACATCTTCCCCACTCTTTTCCATCCCGTCGTGATCGCATTACGATGGGTTAGCAGAGTCTCTTGAAAGCTTCCGGCCCAATCTCGGCCTGGAACTGTCGATACTCTTTTTGATGTTTTCTCATGTGATCTTTCGTTGTCATGTACAACCAAGACGTCAGTGTCGCCCGAAACCATGGAAAGTACCTCAAGCGACTCCATACGTGCCTGACTTCCGTCGGTATGGCGAATACTTTGCACGCAGTCTCAAACAACTCGAGTCTC